CCTACTAGTTTATAGTATTTTGTATGGCAGCCTAAATGAATTAAGATAGTATGGATTTTTCTTTGAGTGTGATTTTTGCCTGTCTGGCCTTCCTTAAAGATTTCATGGATGAGGATGGCATATTTTCAACTTTAGGGGCTGGCTCTGAGCCTACTGCACAGTGGGTACTCTGTATGCTTTGTTAAGTGAATGAGGAAATAGTTTTGAAGTGACATTTATGCTAGTAACTCTTGCAACTCTTCTGTTTAAATTCTGTGAAAGAAACTTCTCTAGTAATAATATGGTCAGAATTCTTAATTTACCTCACATAAAAGGTGACTTTAAAATAGTTAAAATTATAGGCTATATTCATTTTAAAGAGCATTGTAAGAGATTCTTAAAGAGGGAAAAAAAGACAGTAAAAAAGTACCAACAGAACAGCACCAAAAGGAAGTAAACTTTTTCAAAAATACGTGTAAAGAAAAAGTGAGAGAGTCCCCTAGCTCACCTTCCACCCCCCAACACACACACACACACACACACACACACACACACACACACAAACTCTCTTGGTGAAAGCTTACAAGAGTAAAAAGCAGATGAAGAAAAATTCACACAATATCTTCAGGCTATGTGGAAATGGAAGGTAAAAGAGAATTTACACAAATCATAAGGGAATGTCTGGGACAGGAGAGGAGCCAAAACATTTAAATGTGAAGCAGGCCCACGAAATAGAACTATATTTGCTGATGAGGGGACAGTGGGCTTCAGGTGGTCAGTAAGATAAGTTGAATGCATGATTATGTGTGTGTGTGATGTGAATAGGTAAGTAAACGCTGAGCTTTTTACCACTGAGAATAAGTCACAAGCTGCTAAATTTTTATTAAAGTAGATTTCTGCAGTGTAGTCCCCATCCCTGGACCATTAACATTGTGAACTCAGGACATTTTTCTTCTATAAGCCCCTTCATGAACAGAGTGATAGTAAAAATAACAAAATTAATGAAAAAAAAGATAAGAATAAAAATAATAATATAACATTTTGAATCATGAGTGTTCCAGAAACTCAATTGTGTTAGGAAAATGGGCATAATTTGTAAGTTTTATATATAAATATAAAACTTATATATATATTTATACATATAAACAATATACATACATATGTGTGTATGTATATTGTTGGTGTTGTTTTTTGTTTTGTTTTGTTTCAGTGTTACAGAGTGATTCCTATTTTGAGCACCACGGTACTAAGTTGGGAGGAAACCCTTTTAGTCTTTTTTAGATAGTTCTTCCAATCTAACACCACAGGACCAAGAATCTAATAAAGTATCAAGGAGTGAAAGAAGAGGAAAGGAAAGCACGTGAACGCCAGTCATCAGTTCCCACAGTTGGCATCTGGGATAGTCACCATCCTGCACCTAAATCAATCCCCAGTCTCACAGCTCAGAGGAAACCTCTGCAATTAGATGTACAGTGCTCTCCTTTCTGTAGCTCACCACAATAATTTTCCTTTAAACGCAAGGGGAATCCTTCTACCTTCAGATTATGTGTCCAAATATCTTGTCTCTACCCTGAATTTTCTCTTCCCTCTGGGAAAAAAGAAAACAAGAAGTCAGGAGAACTACAGCTACTTCTTTCAAGTCTTAAGGCAATAAACATTGTGTTAGATGATGCCAGGCCAGTAAATTATAAGGGAGAAAAAGATGACCATCACTCATATTACTGTCTCACAAAATATCCTGCTCCACAGTTATTGTTTCTTGCAAGCTTACTACATGCTGACCAATGAGTTAATCACTTCATGCTTGTTAGTGTGTTGAGTGGTATTGTTTATGAATGAAATCACTTGTATTGAACAAGAAAAAATTATTGGGAGTAGTTAGTAGATTTGATTACATTTATTGAATTCAAATACAAGTGTACAGAAAGAGGTCACCCACAAATTGAGGAAAGGCAGAGGGAGCAAGGAAAAAAAGCAGAACTTACAGGAGTATAGCAAATTGAAGGCATAGTTAAAATGTGAACAAGTAGCACTGAGGCCGTAGCAAGGGCTGAACTAAGAATGAACCACATTTGATAGTCCTGGAAATGGAAGAGTTCAGAAAACACCATCCAACATGGCTGCTCAGCATACCGATTATGTTGAGCTGAAGGCCACTTGAGAAACAGCAAGGCTCTGTGACCTCCCCTTTTCTGCCTAAAAGCAGGTCATAAAATGTCCCATGAGAAAGATGACAAGAAGACATTCTTATCACCAGAGACAGGAATGAAACACCAAGATGGGCCTGTAGAAACAAACCTACTAAAACAATCTTTTTCTTCCATTAGTTTTCCCCATATATGTCCTTGTAACTGTCCCACACTTTGCTACCACTAGCCCAAAGCTCTTAATCTTGTCACAGCCTCACAATTTATTGTTCTTTGTGTAAAAATGTATATAAGCTTTTGGCTTCTGTGGGTCTTCAGTTTTCTTTAGAAGATAACTTGTACATGTAAAAATATTATATGTTAAAGATATCTGTTCTTCTCCTGTTAATCTGTATTATATCAGTTTAATTATTGGGCCAGTCACAGTACTTAAAAGAATGAAAAGAAGTTTTTTGTCTCCTGCAATAACATGGATCTCTCCTTAAACAAATGATGTTATAGCGGGAAAATTTGTATGTTAATTAAGTCAATAGAAACCAGCAAGTGTATTATGTAAATATATGCAGTTTAGATAGTTACAACTTGAGACAGAATCTGGGATGAACTTCTCAGAGAACTGTATGCCCCTGATAAAAAACAATATAAGGAAAGAATTTGAGTTATGTACAAAGCAAGTAAATTAGGTGTTTGCTAGGAAACTTCTCCTCTTCTGGAGACCTGTTTTGTCTACTGGTGGAATGTTTAATAGGCTATATTAATAAACTAAATCTTTCCTGGGTCCATACTTCTTCAATGCCCTTTCTGATGCTACTATTGCATGAAAGAAAACCCTGAATGCAAAAGGAAATTGGGTTAATACATTACATGAAATAAGCGTATTTGACTTTTACAATGGGCCTATGAGTTTTTAATTTTCCCGTTTCATAAAAAATTAAACTAAAAAGTAGAAAAATAGTGTAATTTGGCCTGTTGAGAAAAATGTGGTATTGCATAAAAATTTAAAACTTTGGTGCAAAAGTCCTAGAGGACTAAGAGAAACAGTTGGCCATGGGCAAAATATTCTTCTCTAATTGTCTGTTGAACTCATATTTTCACCTTTCTTATTACCTTCAGATACAAAATATGGCAATAATTAATAAAATTTGTTTTAGAACTCTCCCTTTCTGAAATAAAATGGAGGCTAGGCATGATTCTGGTCATTAAAACAGAAATCAAACACTAAGAGATCTCTGGGAAAGTTTGGTTCTTCCTCTTTATATCTACCTTGTTTTTCATCTTGCCTGGAACATGCAGTGTGAGGCTGGAGGAGAAACAATGACAAATAGAACCTAGCCCACTCATGATGTAAAAAAAATCAGCCATATCATCCCTAGCCTGACTCTCTGAATTTTGTGTTACATGAATAAGAAAAAAATAAAACCATCTTTCCTTAAACCACTATAGTTAGTTTTCTTCTATAGTTGCCCAAACCTCTCTTACATATTAAGGAACTTTATATCTGGAAGGGAGTTTTGCAAATTCTGAATTTGAGGAAGTGGCTTAATGATGGTGTGAGATTTGGCGCAGGAAGCTGGAAAACAAGTAACCTTTGTTATATAATATAAAACATTTGATCAACCTGTTGCCTGCCAAGTGCCGTAGGAAGCCACAGGATTTAGTAAACAGTAAGCAAAATCCAGAGTGCTGCAGTGTGCTGGTCTCTTCCTGCTGCCTTCAGCAAAGTCCTGAGTGGGCTGAGCTTTGGTTTATGTTATGCAGCCAGAAGGCAGCAATGAAAACCAAACAGCTTTGCTAAGGAAAAAAGACAGCCTTTTAAGTAGGAGCTTTCAGAGGGGAAAAGAGGCAATGCCTTAAACTGAGGTGGTTGTGACAGGTGGCTGCAGAGAGACCAACTAAGCAAAAGATGCAGCAGGGGCCCCTGCTTTTTCCTAGTAATTTCCTGGAAATATCTCTTTCTGTGGCAAAGATAATGTAAACTGTACCATATTCCAGCTGGAATCTATTGTTTTTACTGACTTTTTAAAAAAAATTCTTATTTATTAGAGATGTAAGCATAGCACAAAAGCAGGTAAGTGAGGAGAATTATATGCTTAGAAAACTGTATCCTGATACAAATATTAGCAATGCTTTTTGTGCATAGGATTGTCCACAATCCAATGGGGGAAAAAAAGCTTGCTGAGTAAACTGTCTGCCATAGATTCTTTAGGCTTGAGTGGCCACAGCCAGGATCATTTAATTTCTTAACTATTCCTAAAGCCCCTGGAAATGACTTAGGAAGCTTTGCATCCTTAATAGCATTATACTGTCCATTATCCAACACTTTTCTGGCTCTGTAGAACAACGTCCAATGGGATTCTCTCAAAAAGGCAGAAATGGGGCTTCAAAATTGACTAATTAGGAAATGTACTTCATTATTAGAGCACGGTACTTTCCTGCTTTCTTCCAAGCGTTCTATATTTTCTATTTGCTAGCATCTGTTGCGTTCTTTTATCTTTGTTAGTTTTTGAGTGAAAATTCATATTGTTGTCACCTTATTCATCCTCCATTACTGTCTATTGAATTTGTTGGGAGAGGATATCTTAGTCCACGTAGGCTGCTATAATAAAACTGTAAAGTTTATAAACAACGGAAAGTTATTGCTCCCATTTTGGAGGCAGGGAAGCATCAGATCAAAGCACCAGGAGATTAAATGTCTGCTGACAGTCCATTCCTCATAGATAGTACCTTCCATGTGACTGTGCTTGGTAGAAGGGCCAAACAGACTTTCTCAATCCTCTTGTATAAGAGCACTAATTCCATTTATGATGACAGATCCCTCATGACTAATCACCTCCCAAATGCCCCACTTCTTAATACTATTGTATTGGGTGTTAGGTTCCAACAGGTGAATTTGAGGGAGACACCAACATTCAGACTATCGCAGAGGACAACTGGCCTTTTAGTGTCTAGGTTGCTGGACCACGAGAAACCACAGCTAGAGATGATGAAGAGAAATTCAAAGCACTAAATAATCCTGGACTGTGAAGTGAATGCATAAACCAAAAGAAACTTGAGGTGGGTAAATGTGATATACAATGCAATGGATGTATATAGATGCTGGTCAATCAAGATAAACAGAAGCAGAGACTGCTAGTAGCTTACCTATTACCAAATCTCCTCCATTCCTTACTCACAGACACTCTTATTTTGTTCAAGGAGGCAGGTGCCCATCTAAAATCTATATTCCATATCTGCCTTTGCTATGAAGGAAGCTCATGTGATGACTACCTGGACCAATAAGAGCTGACAAAGAGTGCACTAAAAAGTACCTTAGAAGTGTTTATTTCCTACTATTGCTATTATCTCTCCCTCTGGGCTGCTTTCTTCTGCTTCTTCCTGCCTAGAAACTACCATAAGATGTGACATGAGCACTGATCATTCAACCTTGAGAATTAAATCAGAAAACTGGAAGGAACTTGGGCATTGAGATTGATGATATGGTGAAGTTGCTATACCTGCTCTAATTTCCGTAATTCTGCATTTCTTATGTGGAAAAAGTAAACTGCTATTTCGTTAAGTCACTATAATGATATATTTTTTTTGAAATGTAGTCTCGCTGTCGCCCAGGCTGGAGTGCAGTGGTCCGATCTCAGCTCACTACAGCCTGTGTCTCCCTGGTTCAAGTGATTCTCATGCCTCAGCACCCCATGTAGCTGGGACTGTAGGCACCTGCCACCCCATCTGGTTAATTTTTGTATTTTTAGTACAGACGAGGTTTCACCATGTTGGCCATCCTAGTCTTGAATTCTTGACTTCAGGTGATCTGCCCACCTCCCAAAGTGCTGGGATTGCAGGCATGAGTCACCATGCTCAGCCATATTTCTGTTTGCAATCCTTCCTGGTTAACCTTAGATGTGGTAAAAGTTGTGGATGTCCATGGAGAAGCTGACTTTGAAGAAAGTAAAAATTGATCATCCCCAGATAGAACAAATGTTTCTATAGTATATCATAATGTAAAGTCTGCTTAGTGATAGGGAACTAGCAAGGTTTGCTTATGTGTCTGGAAGAAGGAGAAATGGAAATATGCAGAAAAGTCAAATAAAGGAATTCAGCAGGGCAACACAAGTTTTTCAAATTAAGAGAAATGAAAGTAGAAACAAAGAAAAATCATGAAATGGTTGCATAAAATGTATGAAAAAGAACTTCAGGGAATAGAAATACAGTTACTTATTTGTGTTAGGTTGGCTTAGCTACCTTGCTCCAATTAGATAATATTGACATTAGAATCTAAAATAAAATTACGAGCTCTACACCATCTGTATCTAAATGTGTGATGGATGGGGTACTTCCGCCATACTAGGTTCCCAGTCACTGATGACATCACATTTCAAGGTCTTTTCTTGTTTTTGACTTAGTGTCCCCTGAACAAGGTCTTTACCTGCTCTTAGTACAGTCTCATAGAAATGCAGAAGATGGAGATAAGTTCATAAATAAAATAATAACGTCAATCAAAATTTGAAAGATATATTAGAAAACAACTAATAAAAATATGTTTCAAAAAGGCATCATTTTTTATAAAAGAAGAGTTTTAGAAGTAAATAAAACATTTTAAAATTCTATAAGTACCAATGTCATTTAATTTGGTAAATGTTATCTTAGTTACTATAGACATGTTTTCAGAGGAAGTCCATGTATTTCAGAAGATCATGGAAAGACATCAGTTATTTTTGAACACACACATGAATTATTAATTTTTAGAGCATGTAAACTAGAGGTCAATGCTGAAGAGCTGCTATGAAATTTGAAGATCTGATGTTGAATATTTTAAGATCAAATTTTTTCCGTGTGTGTGTGTGTGTCTATATATGTGCGAGTGTGCGTGTGTGTGTGTGTGTGTGTAGAATTTGTGTATTATTCTATAATATTTCAGCAAAATCCATTTTGTTGAAATGGTAGCTTACTATTATAAACATAGCAGTTGTAGTTAAAGTTATGCCTTTTTAGATAAAAATTTAGATCAAAGCAGAACCCAATAGTTAAGAAGGATCTTCTGTATCTAATTTTGCTGTCTATGCTTCCTGACTGAGCAGTGGTAGAGAAGAGGTGTGAACTGTGTGCTGCAGGGGTAGGAAGGGTGTTGACAATTTGAGATACTGGAAAATAGTGAACTGAATAATGCAAAGTAAAAATGAAGCTGAAAAATGTCAAAAAGACAAAGATACTAAACCTCATTTGCTTCAGCTTGTCAAACTCAATTTCATCTAATACATGTAAAAGATCTTTTGAAAAATAATTAAGCTCAAGAGGCTGCAAGGTCTAAAATGACTCCTGAAATTACCAGAATTCTTAGCAAAAATTTCAAGGGGTATGAATGTATCTGGGTGGCACAGAAAGCTCAAGTTTTATATCTGGATTAACAAAGAACTACAAAAGTAGCAAGAGAAGCCTCTCCTTACACGGTCACTACAGTGCCAAAGAATAATTGAAACTATGAATGGAGGAGAAGGATGGAGTAAGGTTAAAGCCAACACTTATAATTTTATTGTATTAAGAGATCAATTCTAGGAAACTGATATTTTTCAAGGAAGTACACTACTTTGTTTCCTAGGAATCTTTTTTTTTTTTTTTTTAATTCCTGTTGTGATAAACACAGTGATAAAGGAAAAGGCCACAGAAAGAAAAGGTTGGTCACATCTAAAATAATGTTTAATTCCCTTACAGATTTGCTTAGAAAAGGCCCTACTTGCTAATAATTTGTAGCAACATAGAAAAGAGAGTAGATTCATCACAGCTGCATAAAGCAGTATTTCCCAAGCTGAGACCTTTGGACAAATGGTTATATTGGTTATTAAAATGTTTAATTTTGGTTGGCAAACAGCTTCTTTTCCATGTCCCCTGAGTACCTTTCTGCTAATTTAGCTGTGAGATCTTAGAACTTCTTGTGAGAGCGGGTCTACCCAAACCAAAGGATATTGGTTTTCTTCATAGAAATGTGTTTCCTGCTCCCTAAATCTTGTGCTCATATAAATAATATTGCCCAAAGCAGAAGTATTGTTTTTTATTTTTATTTTTAAAATGACACAAAAAAGCTACGTAGACTAGCAAGAGCATTTACCTATTCTGAAAACCAGCTATGTGCCTGTCTCATCATCAATTACGTATAACTAGCACAAAATTACCACAGAGCCATTCTAATAATTTTCTGCAAGATGGAATGATGCATCTTTTCCAGATAGAACATTTTTGACAACCCAGCTTCAGGCCTCTCTAGGGACCATGTCTGCAATATTTTATGACTGAGCAATGCCTTTTAATTACATTGCACATATTTATATGTGAATTTTTAACAGTAAATTATGCCAAGTATTTGCCAAAAATGAGAGGAGTTTTTTCTAATGTTTAATAAATAAGTCTAACTGCCAATAGATAGGCAAGACGAAATGCTGAAATGGCAATTGTCCTGTTCTCCTACTGAATTATTCTAGTGGTTTATAAAGACAAAACTTGTTTGCTCAATTTAACAAACATGGACTTGGCAGAAAATAGACTGTACATTCAAAAGGTTTACAAGAAGATAGTTTAATGAAGAGAATATTTACAAATGTTTGCACAAGGATAAGAGAAATAATAATAAATGATAAAGTACACTGAGACTAGCAAGAGCAAGGAACAGTTACTTCCCCCTGAAGGGGTAAATGGGGGACATTGTTGCCAGAGCTCAGCAGGATACATGGCCATGAAAAAATAGTCAACCACAGGTCTGTGACTGTGCCCGGCATAGAAGGATTCAGAAAAATAAACACTACATCTGACTTTCTACTAGATTCTCAATCTTGGATGAGTGTAAACACAACTGGAAGCCAAAAGACAAGTGGAAACTGGTGATGCAGCCCATAGATCGCTCTGCAGGGGCCCATTTGGGCATCAGTGAGCAGCAGACAAACCTGGAGGGGAAAACAGAAAAGTGTGCTAGTTATTTGTTTGTTCTCAAATCCACTTTTCTTGATCTAATATTAACACAGGGAACTGCATTTTCCAAACATCCTTTCCATCTTCCTACTCTTCATGTCTGTTTCTTGAGAATAAGTGGGCAGAGATGGAAGGATTGAAGAAAATCAGGTCTCACTGTCTTCCCCCATCTCTCTCGGCCTCCAACATTGCATCTGGCAGTTATTGTGTGTCCTCCATTGTCCATCTATCACTGGGCAGTCCTTTTCCCCATACTTCTAACTCCCACAGGATAGGGAAAAGCAGGACATGGCAAGCATTCCATTTCAGTTTCAGCTACAAGTCCAGAATTAAGGGATTAGGCACTGCTACCTCCTATGTCCCTTCAGCCTAGGGATGGTAGCAGTTTCATGCTGTTTGCACTGCTCAGTTTGTTTCATGTTTGCCTGTGTAGATTCTCAGGTCTTCCATCAACTGAATAGACAATTACCAGTATTAAATTTCCTCTATTTGCAATACCAGGAGTCATTTCTGCTTCTGACAGAACTCTGATAAAATTCTGGGTTAATTTGTAATTGAAAGATATCTTCATATACATATACTTTTACTTCCCAAGTAATTTAATAAGTTGAAAGTATTATCTGACATCACAAAAAAGAACATAGGAAATAACAATATTGTACTATCTTTTTCTTAGTCTAATGAGAAAATAATAAAGACAAAATTTAATGAAAGTTCAAGTATTTGTGTCATCTATAAATAAAGTAATAAGCATACCATATGGAGAGATAAAGAAAACCTTAACAGTAGTTCAAATAGATGAAAATGGTGGGAAAATTGAGTTATTCTGTGGCATAAATGGCAGTAGATGCATACAAATGTGAAAGAAACCTAACATTCCCCAGTCACTATCATATTCACATTTTAAACATATATATTGTTCACAGTCTACTTTTTGCATGCCAGACTTCCATCACATATGAAAAGTAGATATAGTGGTAAATGATCAACAAAATACAGCATTAGGCAGCATAGAGAGCCGATGACCCATTACTAGGTTATTAATGCAGTTTTTTCAATCCTTCATGTCCTCACAATGGTATTTTGAAATATGAGAAACAAAAAAT